ATCTGAGCCTCACCTGGGCCTGGGACCCTGGCTCCTGCTGGAACGGAGTGAGGATGGAGGAGAGCCTTGAGGCTCAAGAGCTTCTGCCAGGGCTTATGTATAGAAGCCCTGTATCCATGAGTGATATTATTTATTGGTCACACAGAGACCATTGTAGTCATGGCTTCCATCCTCAGGGGCCTAGCTGCAAACATGCTAGTCACATGATTGTGCGGATGTGAGAAGAATGAGCCGTGTCACTCAATTCCATGGATCTAAAATGACCTGCGGTCTATCACTCACAATTATTTTAGCCCAGCCAGTGGTTGAGCATCCACCTATGAACCAGGAGGTCACGGTGTGATTCCAAGTCAAGGGTACAGGCCCAGGTTGCAGGCTCAATGCCCAGAGAGGGAAGTGCAGGAGGCAGCTGATCAATAATTCTCTCTCATCACGGATGTTTCTCTCTCCCTCTCCCTCAGGCTTCCTCTCTGAGATCAATAAAACTATATTAAAATTACTTTTAATAAGTTGTCAGCCATGGCTAAGAGTCCTTCTTTAATTCCATTCAAAGCAAGGCCAGGGAGGCCACTGTCATAGAGTTCCACACACGTCACTGACGCTGCTCGTTGGCGCGAGAGCTGTACCTGTGGAGTGAATGCCTGCAGGTCAGACATGACGTGTGGGCCTCCGTCATGTAACACGGAACAGGCTGAGTGTGACGGGGACGGGCCCATGGGCACCGGTGTCTCCAGAGGCTACGTAGACGGCACAAGCCCACGGGGACATCACGACCCAGAAGTGATATCTGAGGCGCCTCCATCCCCCAGGCACCTGGGGACCAGTTAGAGCCTGAGCACTGGAGGGGCCCTGGGATCCAAGGGACGTGTGTGACCAGTGCCTCCTGCTGAGGACGGGAGTGCAGAGACCCGAGGGCCTCAGGGACATTATCCCTGTCCCCACCCGCCCCCTCCTGTTCCCTGACTCCAATACCCTGTGAAGGATTATAAAGTCACAATAAGCCTGGCTTAGATGTGACCATTAAACTGTCAATTAAGTGACTGAAAAGTAACCAGCTGGTGGTGCCAGAGAGAAATCCCAATAAAACCAGAGCCAAATTCAGACGCCCATCAGCCCTGAGGGTAAACCAACACTCCCCTGGCAGAGTCGGTGAGATCGCCTGATATTTGTCTTTGGGGATGAGGCGGTCTGTTCTGTTCGACTGTCACTCACATTTTACCATTTTGGTGCATAATTGTAACAGCTGACACTGGCTGCCAGGGACTGCGCCCAGCATTTGTCCTGGATGAACCTACTTGTCCTAACACACATCTGTGCTGTCCCCGTATTTACAGACGAGGACAATGAGGCAGAGGGGTCAGCACCTGCTGGGGACCCCACAGCGGGAAGCTCCAGAGCTGAGCTTGAACCCCGGGAGTCTGGCCGTGAAGATGGGCTCTTGCTCACAACCCACTGAGGGAAACTTCCCACATTTGAAAGAGAGACCCCAACGGCCTCCAGATTCTCAGCAATGTGAACAATGTGTAAAGCTGCAGGTTAGGGCTCTGAGGTGGCGGGACTGAAACTGCAACAATCTGAGAATAAGTTGTGCAATAAATGCTCTAATGTTCCTCAGGTGAAAGGTGTGTGTGTGGTGTTCTTAGATCCCTCGTCCCGTCTCTGAGGAAATGTTGGTGATTTCATGCTTCAGGGTTTGCCTGCTTCAAGTGTGTGGACGTCAGTGTGTTTTTGTTGCTGCTACAGTTCCTGTCGCCAAGGGGCCACTGTTTCTGTTAGGTCCACAGTGACAGGTTTGCAGGGAGGATTGCTGTCCCTGGGCTGATCCTGAATTCATCTACACCATCAACTTTCATCCATTCTAACTATCTTTCTCACTAGATTATCTTAGATTTCTCTGATGGTTGATTATCTTCATACTAGTGGCCCAGTGCATGAAATCCATGCAAATTTAAAGAGAATTAATTAAAGGAAATATTTTAATATTGCTATTTGCCCTTTCTCTATAATAGAAGTGTCAGAGATGAAAGAAAATTAGTAAAATGTGTATGAAAATATATAAATTGATTAATAAACAATATCCACAGGACCCAGAGACAGGTCCATGCCCACCCACACCCACCTCAAAATCGGGCGAGACCCAAAGCCAGCCAGCCCCACCCCCATCAAGCCCTGCATGGCTGGGGGCACAGCCTCAGGTCCTGTGGTCCGGCCTCAGGTCCCCCTTCCCGGGCACGAGGGTGGGAGGGCATGACAACGATTGGCATATTAGCTCTATATTTTATAGGATTAAGACCAACTTATTGATGGCTTTTTATATGCTTTCCCCCTGGTTGGAAGAGAATGTTGTCAACAAGTTGAGAGCCTCTATGTTTACTAGTCTTTATTTCACAGCAGCTTTTAGTTCACAGAAAACTTGAGCAGAAAGTAGAGAGAGCCTGGCCGGGGCATCGCAGTGGTTGAGCGTCACTCTGTGCGCCAATGGTTTGCCAGTTCAATTCCTGGTCACGTCCCACACCAGCTGCTGCCTGAATGCCCAACCGGCACGTACAGAAGGCGCCCGCTGGGTGCTTCTCATGGCCCTGGTGGGATCAAAACACAAAGAGAAAGTAGAGAGAGGTCCCACCTCCCCCTTCTTTCCAGACACACGGAGCCTCCAGGGGTCAGCACCCGGCCCGGTGCTGCCAGGACCCCAGGGTCTCAGGTGCTGGGCCGGGTGTGGTGAGAGGGCGTGTAGGTCACAAGGAACTGCCCAGCTGTCCTGCCGAGTGGCCGTGCTCCCGTGCACCCCTCCAGCAATGAGGACGCGTTACTGCTGCCCCGCACCCCAGCCAGCACGTGGTGTCGGTCAGTGAGCTTTTCCAAACAGAGAAAGAGGAGAAAGGACTGAGCAGGTGGAGGAACGAGGTTGGCATCAGCGAGAGGACAGGATTGAGTCAGAAACCCAGATGCAAGCAGCTGAGCTAGAACGTCAGTGCCATGTCCCTCCCTTTCGTCTAACAGGTCCCCCCGCCCGACACCTGTCAGAATCCTGTCTGTGCTGCGTGGTCTCAAGCCCGCTGTCCTGTCACCTGCTTCCCACAGCCTGTCTCGAGTCGTGCGGCCTCCCAGTGCCCCATGGAGCAGCGGCCCACGGTCGGCACAGGTGGGGGACCAGCCCTGTGGGTGCTTCTCCTGTGGGGCCCGATGACCACAGGGGCCACCTCTGAACCGACAAGTGAAAGTGTCACCAGGACACGTGAGCGTTGATGGATCTGAAGTTGTGTGCATGGCTTTTCCACAGGCGCTCGAGTAGGAAGGTGGCAGTGGGAGGGTGGTCCTCCTCTTGGCTCTGTTTTCTCTAGGGAAGCAGACACCACGGATTTACTCCCTCCACTGCCCAAAGCAGCCCTGGCACTGCGGGCACCATTTTATCCTGAGGGTGCAGCCCAGCCACACTGAGAGCTCGTTCACTTAGGGTCACGAATCTCCCGCAAACATGTGCTGACCCTCTTCTCTGTGCCAGGCCCTGGGCTGAGGGAAGAGCAAAGCGGACCCTGTCCGCACTGAAGGAGCTGAACCCCAGGGGCTCCCTCCACCGACGGGGCGTGCACTGTGACCCTCCCACCTGAGGCGGTGCTCTAGGAACCGTGCCCGGTGCCAGCAAGTCCCGCTCTGACCAAGTCCCCAGGCTGTGACGCTGATGGATGGCATCAGCTGACCGTGAGGAAGGGTGGCTGGAAGCCAGGCCTTGTGACCTGCCCCGTCCCCTGTGGCAGGACCAGTGAGGCTCACTGGGTACAAATAGCCCTGGGCTCCCCAGGCTGCTCAGTCCAGCTCCTCAGCGCTCACTGTTTGCTCAGCTGAACGCTCAGCCGCAGGAACCATGAAGCTGGCCCTGTCTCTGCTGCTGGTCACTCTGGCCCTTTGCTGCTCTGATGGTGAGTGTCACGTCCACTCAGACACCATCAGCCGGGAAGGGCCCTTCTCCGGTCCAGGTGACTTACATGGGGAGGGGGGACGGGTCAGAATTAAACCTTTCCCGTGTCCTGTGGACCAGGCTTCAACGCCCAGCACTCGGGGTATCCGATCCAGGGGCTCTGGAACTTCTACAGAAACCCCGGCAGGCCAGTGTGGGCGGTCCCATGGGAGGCCCCAATCCCGCCTGGTCTGTGTCGCAGAAGCAGCAGGACAGAGTCACCTTCTCGTGAGTCAGGGTCCTGCCCCTGCAGCGCTGTGGCCTGGAACACAGGCTGCATCTCCCCAGGCCTCTCCTCCCTGGATCCCAGCGCCCAGGAGAGAAGCTGGGGCGATGGTGGAGAGGAGGTGGTCCGAGGCCACCCTGGTCTCACCGACGTCTCCTCACCAGGGTCTCTTAGGTGCCAGGTGAGCCCAAGACTCTTGGACTCCTAGGTTCAGACTCAGAGAATGTTCCAGCAGGAGAGGGCTCCGTTCAAGAGGAGCAGTGCCGCCTGAGGCTCAGAGTGGCCAGTGTCCACGTGGCTCTGAGACCCAGAGGCGCTCAGGGGCCCGACAGGCCCGCTCCTCCTCCAGGGGCCCAGCCAGGACGTGTAGAGCCAGTGGGAGCGCTAGGGCCACAACTGCCCTTTTCCAGGTGAATGTGGTCAGTGGCCAGCAATGCTGGGCGTGTCCTCACGCCCTCGGGGCTGAGCCAAGTCCTTTTGAGTCTCTTCCATCTGACTTTCTGAACCTGGTCCTCTCTCCTCGAGTGACCTCTGACCTGACCCTCCACCTCCCTGCAGAGCGGCTGTCTCCCAGGTGGGAGGGGCCTGGTGGGCACAGTCCCAGCTGCAGGCACTGGCAGAGGCCTGAGGGTGAGGATGGAGAATCCAGACCCGGAAGTGGTTCCTGAAGGTCTCAGCACAACCCACTGGGCGGAAAGTCAGCCCAGTCCCTGCGCCCCCTCCAGGGGGTTCTGTCCTCAGGGCGGAACCAAAGAGCCAGTCGTGGTCTGAGCCTCAGCGTCAGGTGTGACACTCACAGACTTTCTTGGTTTAGCCTGAGCCCTCTCTGTCCCATGACATGATCCCAGTGTTAGACTGAGCCTCCAAGGGCATCCTCCATCCCTTAGTAGCATTCCTCCCTCCTCTCCCCATTTACTGTCTCCCTCTGGGCCCTCTGCCAGGACCCGACCCTACCCTTCCCTGGAAAGACTGAGAGGTAACAGCTCCCTCCCCCAGTACCAGACAAAGGCAGGTGTGGCTCTGTTGAGGGGCAAAGCTGAGGCTTTGAAATCTAGGGTCCGTGACTGGGGCAAAGCAGGGGAGTCTTGGGAAGGCCTGGGTGTACCTGCTAAAGGGGAAGACTGACCAGGGGTGGTCACCTGTGCTCCATCCGGGCTCCGCTGTGTGCTCTGTGACCAGGCGCCAGTGAGGACTTGGGGGAGATGCATTGTCCTGGGCACAAGTATGGGAGGAGACCATAAGCCCCTGGGGTTCCTGTCTAGGTCTGAGGTCAGGGAGCCGTGGGGAAAAGTGACTTTCCTACATCCAATGTGTTTCTTTTTCTTCTCCTCCAGCAAATGCCAAAACCTGTCCAGCCCTTCAAAACGAAGCGAGAGCCTTCGTGTTGGACATTAAACCGCTCTTTTATCGTGTCCTCAAGACGTTTCCGGCACCTATACCCGCCTACGAGTCCACGATGGCTGTGAAGGATTGCGTAAATCGGATGGCCTTTAACGACAGACACAAAATTTACGAACTCATGGTAACTCCATTGTCCTTCTGCATAGAGGCTGCTGCTCAGCTGCATGGCCAGGAGGGAGGAGGGTGCTTCTCTGGGGGGCACAGGCGGGGGGCACTGGTCCCTCTGCTCACCTCTGAGAGAGGGGCCCGTGGCCAAGGGTGGATGGTGACCTGACACCCCCTGGGCCAGCCTCAGGCTGCACAGCCTCTGCAGGCCCCTCCCTGGGCTCCAGGTTCCCCACGTGTCCTGAGGGGGGACAGCCAGGGCCCAGGCGGTGATGGTGAAGGGCCAGACACTGCTGCCTCCCTGCCTGGGAGCGTTCTGGAGGGCGAGGTCCCTCACTGGATCAGGAGGCACTGTCCCTGGGGAATAATGCCATGGGGTGGGGGTGCGCTGCAGGAGGCAGGGAGCTGGCCCCGCTCCATGAGGAGGGAGGCAGGCGGGGCTCTGGCAGCTTTTGCAGAGCCAGGCACAGTCCCTGTTCCCTCGCCCCCCTCCCTCCTCAGCCAGCAGGCCAGAGGGCAGGGCCCCTCTCAGTCTGTCCTCTGCAGCCACGGGTGGAGCTGACCGCCTCCCTGTCTCTCTGAGGAAATCAGACATTGGGGGGAGGGGGTGTGTCTCAGCTCCTCCGCCCCTGAACCAGGTCGGGCTTTAAGCAGGAGTCCCCACACGCAGGGCCTCAGTGTGGACATGTCAGTGGGCCATGCTGGGGTTGCAGATCTCCGCAGGCAGATCCTCCCGTGGCCCCTCCCGCCTGGCCCTCCTCCCCCATCCACTCTGGAGTTAAAAGTCCCGTCCTGGGACCTGGGACTCAAAGAAAGCAAATCCCAGGCTCTCGGCCCCCTTGTCCCCCTCCTGCTCCATCAGAAACCCGAGGCCAGTCTTGGGCTCCTCAGCGTCTGCGTCCGGCCGTGGCCATGGCTCTTCCCTGATGTGTCTGCTGCTGGGCCTGCACCGGGACCATTGAATACCCACCTACACTCTGTCCGCCCGCTGCCCCGCTGGCCAGTGCTGGTTGCAATGCTTCCCGTCTTGGTTGTGAGCACACGCCGTGCCCGTGGCATCTCTAGGGGCAGCGGGACTGACGGCCCTTTCTCTCTGTGTCTATTTCAGGAGGCTATCGGGAAAACGTGCAACAAATAGATTCAACAAACCTCACCTATGAGGGCTCCTGCTTTCAATGATGCCTGACCTTCCCTGGAAAATGTAGAGGTTTCAACGTCTTGCTTCAATAAATCACTTGCCCTGCACGTCCCGCTTGTCTTGTTTTATCCCAGTCTCTGGCCCTGGGTGGGGGGCATCATGAGGGGGCCTTGGGTGGTGACAACAGTGCATCATGCTGACCCGATGGGCAGTGACCTGGCGCCTGAGGGCACGGATCACAGAGGGAACGTTGGCTCAAGGCCCGGCCCGTGTCTCTGCACAGGCCTCCCAGGCTCAGGCCCTGCATGAGCCACGCAGGCTCCGCACCTCCATCCCCCAGCAGCCCCCTCAGCCAGCCGCACACCTGAGAGCTCAGACTCCTTTCCAGCGGCTGCTGCCAGGCCCGCCCTGCACTGTGGTCAGGGGAGTCTGTCCCAGGGGCCAGGACAGGAGGCTGCGGTCTTTCACTCTCTGCCCAGACCCCAGGGTGCGGAGGCCCTGCTGGCTGTGCAAGTCCAGGGAGAAGCTCTTCTTGGCGGCTTCCCACTGGGAGGCGGATGCCAGTCCTTGTCTGGCTGCATGGGCTCCAGGGCCCAACGGAACTGCCATTGTGCCTCCTTCCTGTGAAACCTCTGCCTCCTCCTCCCCCACATGTGGGATGGCAGAGAGCAGGCCCAGGAAATCCAGGGTTGTGGTCCACACTCAGAATCTGTACCTTTATCACAGCTGCAAAGTCCCCAGAGAGAAGAGAGGGAAGTCCAGGGCTTAGGGCATGGAACGTTTGGGGGCTTATGACCCCACTGCAGCTCATCTGACTCCTGACACCTGTGAGCCACCCCGTTTCCCTGCACGGCCCCCTCCCTCCTACAGCCTGTCCTTTCCATCTGCACAGCCATCGTCATCGTCCTGCCCTCGTCCCTTCTGGCTTGTGCCCAAGGCTCCTACCCGGTCCGCTGGGGGTGGAGCTGCCCTCCCTGCAATGCGCCTGCGCATCCACACCACAGTGACCTCCCACAGGAAGGGGAACCGGCCCTTCTTCTGCACCTGAGAGCCTAGGCCATGGTCCCCATGTTTCCAGAAAGAGGACGTCTCATTAGTCCTCAGCGTCTCCCATGATGAAGGGCACATGATGCCCACATGACTGAGAGCATAGCCGATGGTGCCCATGTTATCAGTGATGCCCCTCGCGGCCACAGTGAGTGTGTGTGTGTCTCATCAGGAAACCCGCACACTCAGTTGCCTCTTTTCTGAAGCACATGATGTGCTCAGTCTACAGCCTGTGCTCGGTGGATGCAGGATTTTTGAGCTCTTGCCACAGCCTGAGAGACACAGGCTGGGGTCCCACCAGGAGGGCCAAGGCCCCCGCTGGTGCTGCTCTCGAGGCCTCGCATTGAAGCATCCATCTCATAAAAAAACTGCCGTTTGAAATTTTAACCCTGCTATTTTAGCTTTGTAAATACTTGCTTGCTTAAATAAAAAGGAAAGTAAGACTACCACCATTCCAGACAGGCCGTTAACTATGCCCCAGACAGAGTTGTCAGTGCTGACACCAGGCCAGGCCTTGAGATATGGTGTCATGGCCCCTTTCCAGCATGGAGGCCTTCTTTCTCAGAAGGCCCGGAAGTCTCATTCCAAATTTGGGAGACAAAGGACTAGAAAAAGCATCAGTAAAGCGAATTTACTCCATGTTGGGAGGCCTAGAATTGCAAAGACATTTTTTGTTTTTTCTGGGCCTGCACAGAATTTAATAATAAAATGTTACTCCCTTTCTCTAAGCGTGGCTGGTTTTTTCTCAGGTCTTCTGGAACATTAATGGTTCCCTGACCGAGAAGAAGGCCAAACATGCTGGCCTTTGGCCTCCAGTGTGTGGACCGGGTTTGGGGTCCAGGGGAGCCAGACAGACCTCCGGGAGGCCCCACTCTGCTGATTTAGCAGAAGTGAACTGGGTACTCTGGGCACTCCCGGACCTCAGCCCAGGACCCGGCCGGCATCTGGAGAGAGTGGAGGGACACTTCTGGACCTGTGAACAGAAACTGTAAGGGAGGGGCCCTATCAGTCAAGCCCACTCCCAGTGAGTGGAAGGGGGGCCTGATCACCTCCCTGGAGGTCATGCCACTTCCTCAGGCAAATTAATCAGGAATCAGGTGGACTGTTTAAACTCTGAGTAAACATGTGGTAGAAGTAAAAACTCAGAGGATCTGGTGTATGAATGTAAGTGTGAGAATCTGTGTGAAGAGAAAGCTACTTTGTGCCGTCTGGCTGTCCACATGCGAGTATTTGTTTTATCTTTCTGTTGTTCAATTTGTTTAAAGATAGGGCAAGCCCCCCTTTAGGGGGAAGACAGTAGAGAACTTTTAATTGATTTTCCCTGATGTGTAATTTGGCTGTGTTAGGTTAAGATTTTAGAAGTCTAATGTTAATTAAAGGTATAAAATTTGTGAAGGTTGCAACCCAGAGAAGTTTAAACAAAGGCTTATTGGGTTAAGATTAGTACATTTTCTCATGGCCTGTGTAGGGTGTGGGAGAGGGACTGCCGGATTTTTATCATGTGGTCCCGAGACCTGTGACCTGCCTGCCCTTCCTGATAGGTGCACAGTGGGTCTCTGTTGGGGACAGCATCTGCTCTGACTGGGGGAGGAAGAGAGCTGAAAACTGCTCTGGAGCGGGTGTGAGATGGGGTGGTGGTGGGATTCGCTAGATAGGGTGATAGGCCCTTAGCCTGCTGAGATGGAGGAGCCCGAGCCTGGGGGATAGGGGGACGGTCAGAGAGATCACAAGTGGTACAGGAGGAGAAGGATTTGAGCCTCTGGGGCTTAGAGTAAAGAAGGCAAAATCTAGGAGGGAGAGCAGCTCAGAGTAAATAGTTAATGCAGAAAAGTGGGGGGTGTCCGTGGGGAGAGCAGGGAGAGATAAGCTTTTGTTGATTTTTACTTATCTGAACTATGCTGGACTCAAGACCGCAAGCTCCTACTAAGCACAAGTTTTTCTCTGCCACAGTTTGTTCTCTTTAACCCTTCCAATACTAAACTAGACCAATACAATATACTTGAACTTACATAGGAAAAATATAGCAGTTTTTACTAGACAAATTTTAATTTACCTGCTCTTAGTAATCTAAGAAATACTGGCTGTTTACTTTTTAGTAATCATTAAAAGATGGACGTTTCTAAGAATATGGAATTACTGAGTAGAAGGTCTGAGGCATGGTTATGCATTTTTAAAGAACATAGAAAGAAGGTTTAAAGGCAAGTTTAGACGTGTAAAATTTCTAAAGGTTGGGTATGTAATAAGAAGGAGAAAAGAAATGTTAAAAGGAAGTTAATCAAATATTACAGGCCAGTAAGCCAGGAAGAGTAAATAATTTACATTCTGCCTCCCTAAACAGAGCGTAAATAGTTATGCCAAAGTACTTAGGGGGGAATGATAAAAGAAATCCAACAGTTACTGTTTTGTTATAACTCTAGAGAGTCCATAAAAAGAACTGGCAAGGAAAGTCGGAAGATCTTAAAGCAGGTCAGTATATTTTTCTCCTTATAGAATTCCTCTGAAATTTAGCAATGCTTAATGAATCATGGCAATACATTTCTTTGCATAAATTCAATAAGGCTGGTTTCCAGTAGTGGTTTTATTGACCGAAAACTTTGACTGGAGTACCATGTTTTAAAGAGCCCTGTCTGAACTCTGAAGACTTGAAGCCAATAAGAGTGCCATGGAGAAAGCCTGGTATCCTGCTTGGTAGCCCTGAAAATAGCTGGTGCTGAAGTATCAGGCCCATGCCCTACCATCACTGGCGGTTGGTCAGAGTAGAAGGGGAGCAATAAGGGCGCCTCTGCGTCCCTGCAGAACCCCCACGCACTCTGGGCCAGGACGAGTAGTAGGGCTGCTGACAAGGGCCTTATCTCAAGGACAATGGGCCCAGGTAGAGCCACTGCAGGTGAGGAATTCACCTAACTCAACAGATACTGCAGGCAGGCCTGATGGCAGCTGGATGGCTTGGCTTCCTGGCCCTACGGGGCACATTAACATTCAATCATGAAATTCCGGCAAAGGTAGTCAGTTCCCATTCTTGTTGTGTTTATGCAAACAATCAGGCCAAATTAAATACAGTAAATAAATTAGTCGTTTAATAGACAGAGGGATACTTTTAAGGAGGAAATAGTCTATTTCAATAAAGGTTATTAAAACTGAAATGTTTTCTTTCCCTTCCACCAGACCATTTGTTACAGTTTGTCTCTGCCAGGTCACAAGCCCACCTCCTTCTGTGCCCAGGCCTCATAGTCCCTCTGACAGACAGCAAGGATCTCTTGGCTCTGAGAGCAACCTCTGACCCACCTCAGCAGGAAGTAATTACAGAAGAAATCCAACATCCATTATCCCTGAAAGAATTCAGAGCCAGGATCCTTGAGGTAATATAGTGGGCAGTTAGACAGACATGAGCAGAGCAAGGACGATGGGCCAACTGGCACTACCAGATGTAACTAAGTCTTTCCACCTCTATGTATGTAAGACAAGGGGACTCCCCAGAAGCAAGAGGGAACTAGGCTGTAGATAAAGACGCGCAGGAGGCTGCCCTAAAACCAATGGGGCCTCTACAGATTCTAGTGACTCTTCCAGACCCTGACCTACTCATCTCACCAGCTTACACGGAAACCCAATCTAGAAAAGCTGAAATCCATACCCAATCTTTACTCGAGTTCTTACAGGCTTTACAGTGCACCCAGAAAGCAGTCCGGAAGCATGTTCGAGATGCTCTGCTTATACCAACTTCTGATCCGGTTCATCCCTTCCAACCTGCTGACTCTATTTGGGTAAAGAAGTTTGCCACCCAAGGACTGACTCCTACCTGGAAAGGATCACCCCTACGACAGTCAAGGTCGACAGAATCCTGACGTGGCTTCATCACACCCGGCTTAAGACAGCCCAGGCAAAAGAGAGAGTCCAGGACTCTTCGGACCCTCTAAAGATTACTCCTGGCCCTCATTACAGGCCCTTATCTTATAAACAGGCCCACTAACTTTTTTCGGCAAAGACTTAATTCTATAAAGCTTGTAGTCCTCAGGGGTCAATATACCTCCCTCCCAACAATGACCCAAAAGAGTCAATGATT